TAGTAAGAATAGAATTGTTATATTGATTAGAAATATTGGTTGAGTGAAAAATAATTGAGATGTCTGAGAGATAATTATTAGGGGGTTTTTTTTTCTTTGGCAACTATTGGAATTCTTAGAATTTGTACTGAGAGTATTTTCTTTTTCTTTTTCTTGGTAAGTATAAGTACTTACAGCATTGCCCATGTTTATGTTTTCTGGTATATGAAAGTCTAAGTCAATAGATATTGATTGATCTTCCTTATATAGATCCTGAGTAGGTGGTTATGGCTGATTGGTTGGCAAGTTTGGTGGATTTGATTGACGGTTTATTAAGTAGTGTCTGATTTCTGATTGGCTGGATATTATGATTAGTTGAGATATTTAATTGGTGGTTATATTGATATTTGTCTAACTTGAAGTCTTGTTGTGTAATTCTGCTGATAAGATAGTTTTATTGAAGAAAGAAGTTTGTGAAGATAGTGGCTGGTTTTTTTTTCTAATTAGTATAATGTTATAAGGGTAAATAAGCTTCTCTTTTTCTTTGTGTTTCTGTTGATTTGAATTATGATTCATGATACATGTTTTGAGTAATTTCATCCTTTGATTATTACTTTCTGAAAGACTTCATTTCTTATTTGACTTTCACTTGCAAAGATTCTCTGGAATGAGTTGTGAAAGTTTAAGAATTCATCAAGAAGTTAGGAAGGCTTTTCTGTAAAGACTAAAACTTGTGCCAGGAGATTTTTTTGATCTTTAGAGATTGCAAATTCGATTTGAAAAACATTTAGATTTGAAAAGTCTGGTCTGGAAATATTGATGGTGGAAATGAGCACTTTGGTAGGGTAGTTGTTGAATAAGAAAGTTGTTATCATTCTGGATGGTTCTATAAAAATGACTTCTTTGTTTTCATTTTGATATATTATAGATATATGGCAACAAGTTTTGTTTATAAGAATAATATCTAGAAGAGTAGTATTGTTATTGTTGTTTGTATAAAATGTTGTGGGTGGTGAAAAGTAGGAATTATTACTAATAGTTGGGCTTGGTTTTGAATTTTGGTTGGTCATGATTATTTGAGTAGAATAAATTGCTAATATGTTTACTGTTAATATACTCTTATAGTAACATATTTGTTGTTATTATCACTTGTGTTTATAAAAACATGATTGTGATGTTAACATGTTAGTTTTATTGACATGTCAATTATATAACATGCCTGTTTTATTGTTGTGTTTGTGTTATTGGTATGCTGATGTTGTTTATTTGAACTTATTTTGATTTTGGTTGATGTATAGATCTTGTTTACTCAGGTTGTTTTGATTTGTTTTATACATTTTTTAGTGTGTCAATCACTTGTTGGGGTAAGTTGATTCTGGTTTTTCTCTTTAATTGAAAGTTTTGTCATATAACTATAAATAATTAATATTGATTGATATATTGTTATTTTGTTTATTTGGATCTTTTGATCTGAATTTCCTAAAAAAAGTCTGATGTTTTCTTATTTTTTGTTTGGTGTTAAGGTTGCCTGATTTATCAGGTGAAATCTGGTCAGCAAAAATCCTTCTGGTGTCTAGGGAGGTGCAGAATCAAGTATATGACTAGTTAGAAGCTAGAAGAGTTAATACTAAATTTTCTTTGAGCTTACTGTAAATTGTAATACTTGTGTTTTTCTTTCTTTAATGTAACCTTTATAAGTAATATAATTCACAAAATAGATTCACCTTTTTGAGTAGCTGTGTTTTGATTATAGTTTTCTATTACTTGATGATTCTTTTGTGATTTTTGAGAATAAAGATGATTTTTGACAAGTGTTCTTAAAATTATCAAAAAAAAAATTTTTTTAAAATTTAATGATTTACAGGAAAGAGTTTTTTTTACTAGTTTATTATTATTATTATTTTTTTCTGATAGATAAATATCATTTCTTTATTTATTAGTAGGGCTCCTAATGATATCACTTCGATACAATTTCAATATCAGTTCGATACTTAAATTTACTATAAAATTATATGAGTAGGTTACAACTCATATATTAAATTTACTATAGATCAGTACCATTTCAATACTAGTTTGATATCAGTTCAGTACTTTTCGAAGCCTTATTTATTAATATAATAATAGATATATATTGTGAAAAAAACAACATCTCTTGTATGCAAAAATACAACAAGTTAAATGCTAGTTTGCCTATATATCTATATTTAGCTAATATCAAAAAAAAATTTTAAAATAATATTATATATGTTAAATATAGCTGAATAGTGGTTATGCCTACTTACTCAAAATTTTTGATTGAATGTAAAATGAATAGGAAATAAAAGAAAATTGAAAAGAAAAAAAAATTGGGGCTATAATAACAATAGCTACTGAAATTAAAACTAAGTTACCTAAACTATAAAATCTATGTAAACAAAAAGTATATCTAAAAGGTGGCCAATAGTCTAGCCCTTATACTGGCACTGGTCTTAGAAACATGACCCTTGTTAATACAGATAGTAGAGTGTAGTTGACATTATTTGTTATTATGGTAGTTGTTATTATTGTTGTATTAAAAAACTGGTTTAAACAAGTTTGGTTTTTTTTTTATTGTTTTGATAAAATCCAATTAGATGATTAAAAAGAGACAATTATCTGAAAGAGGTAAGCTGATTTCAATTTTTTGGAAAAAATTTTTGATGAATTTTGAAATAGTGCAGTAGATAGTATTATAGTAAGGTTATATATAAAGATTATGTTAAAACAAACAATAAACCTAACAATATTATTTGAATATATTTTTTGGAAGATGTTTGATTTAGTGAGTATAATAATATTAATGTGAATAGTTTTTATGATATAATAGAAAGAAGAAGGAATACAAGAAAACAAAAGAAAAGAGAATTGTTACAGGCTTTTTCTCATATAACTGAAGAATAAGCAAGACTTCCAAACTTGAATAGATTTCGATTAGAGGTTCCATCCCATTGCACCAGTTGTTTTGAAAGTTTTTGAGTTTTTGAACTAAGGCTTACTTATAATAAAGAGTATAAAACATTTTTTCTTGCTTAAAATTATTATAAAAGAAAAATTTTTAACAAAACAAATGTGATCAGTAAAGAGTTTTTTTTAACTAATTTTTACTAGTTTATTATTTCATTGTTTCACTTTATATTACATATATATAATTTTTGGAGAACCAATAAGATTATATATACTATTTTAAACTTGTATTTATACTTTATTTATTTATATTAGGAAAATATATATAGTATATAAGAAAACATTTTTTTCTTTGGAAAATAATAGAGTTGTCTAATTTCTCTTACATTTAATAAAGTTTTTTTTTATTAATTATAAACAATACTTTGTTTATAACTTTTTTAATATAAAATATTATATGTTGTAATATGGAATATTATATAATTATTGAGAAAATCAAAGGTTCTATCTTTATGCAGCCTAATTGAATTTGAATATAATTAAAAATTATTGGATATAACATATATAGGATATTTAATAAACATATATGTAAATATAAATATACTTTTTTGCTTTTTGTAGATATTAAATTAGAGATATATATTTGAAAACCTGGAAATATTACCCACTATACTATAGATTTACAAGTTTTATAGTAATAATATTCTATAAATTATCAAATCTATTTAGTTATAAAAATATATTATAAAAATATTAATTAAAATATATAAAGATAAAACTTTTCATTTTTTAAATAATTATAAAATTGCAATAGATTATAAAAAAAAAATTATATATATAAAAGTTTTTAATTTAGTTTTAATTAATTTTATAATTATATTATATAAACAATAGTATTATATTTAAATATAATAATATTTTATTTTAATTAATTTTAATTAATTTTCTTTTTTTATTTCATAATTAATTCTAATTTAATTAGGTAAAGAATATTTATAAATATTTTAAATTAATAATAAGATTTTTATTTTTTAGATAAGTCTTTTTAAAAAATATAATCTATTTAAATTATAAAATAATAAATAAATAATATTTGATTATAGTTTAATACTATAAAAGGTATTTAATATATTTTGAATATTATATATATATATATTAATAAAAATTTGTATTTAATATTATTTTATTATAAAAAAATTTTTTTATTTAAAAAAAGTTTATTGATATTAATATATATATTAAAATTAATAACTTTTTAAAAATGTTAAAATAATAAATAAAATAATATTAAAATTTTATAGGTTTAAATATAATGATAATATTTTATAAGTTATTAAAAAATTTTTTAACTTTCAATTTATATTATAATTAATTAATACAATTTATTCATTTTTTTTATTAATTAAAAGTTAAAATAATTTAATTATATATATATAAAAAAAACTTTTGAAAAATTAATTATAAATTAATATACTGTATTTAATTTTATAAAGATCGAATAAAGTTTAAATAAAAATTTTAAGTAAAAATATTATAACTGCTAATAGTAAAAACAATAATATTGTATTGTATTAATGATATTTTTTCAGAATTATAGAATGGCTTGATTTTGACCAAAGATTAATAAATGCATTAATATATAGATTGACTAGAAGTAAAAAAAAATATTATATTAAATTAAGTTTGGTAAAATACTTACCGTTACTCGGAATTCACAAAAGTGGTATCAATTAATAAAACTAATGTTGGGGAATTGCATTACGATAAAGTGATAATCACGCGTGATTATAAAGTTATGGAAGGATGTGTACAATATAAATGGTCATGATTATCAATTTTGGTTTCTGTAAATTACCCAAGTAATATTGTAAATATTTTCTTGTATATACTGTATTTAGAGGATATTTTTTCGACTTTATTAGTCTCTCCAAGAATGCAGTCAGCGCAAAGAAGCTTAGGTTTAGCGTCTGTCATCGTTGTTCTAGGGTTTCCTCCCCTGATATTATATCAAATCAACAAACGTAACTATCAACTTTTTTCTTAAACCAAATTATTTAGAATTTACAAGCTCAATAAATATTAACCACGATTCTTCCAATATGCTTCCTACGTTAGACATTCTTGCAAGATCCCTAGATAGCCTCCATTTTTTATTCTTTCAGTTAATCTTTTTCTTTGCTTATCACCATCTGCTTAACATTCCAAGTTTATCCACAGTCGTGTTTAAATATCTTTATGAAAAGACATTATCATCACAAAAACCGCAACTATTAAAATCTAATAAAACCAAAATTGAAGAATCGAACGATGTTGATCCTCCAGAAGTGATTAAATCCAGAGATGTCATCAAAACTTTTACTAAGACACCATTGATAGTAGCCAGTGAGTATAATTTACTTGATCTGGTGCTTATAGAGAACAAATATTCGAGCATTTATGCCGACCACAATACTCTCACTATCTAAAAGGCGTTGTTTTGTTTCATACAAAAAATCGGCAGAACCTGAAGCTGACAATTCAAGATTTTTAAATTCAATGTTAACCGAAATTTTAAACCTGGTCGATCAGAAAAATTTCGAATGGCGACTATTACATGAAGACAAGAACACAGATATGAAGATTTATCAACATTCATCGATAAATTATTGCTATAAAGTTGTGAGCACCATGGATAATACACCAGAGACAACCTATGATTTATTGGCTGATGTCACTCGAAGATCGGAATGGGATCATTTGGCAAAAGAAGGAAAAGTTTTGGAAGTTACTGGAGAGTCTACCAGAGTTCATGTACGTCTTTTGCATTAAATGTAAGAATTGATGCGGATTATTTATTCTAAAATTGTTCACATCTTTAATAAAAGTACTTTCGTACGAAAGCTATGTTTCCAACCTTAGCTCGGGATGCAGTCACTTTAGCATATGGAACACAACTTGACGATGGAAGAATGGTGCATGTTAACAAAAGTATTGAACACAAACTATCACCTAATGAACCTGGGGTCATTAGAATTCATGTTAATTGTGCTGGATTCGTTGTCGAGCCCATTAAGAGTCAACAAAATAAATGTTATTTGACACAAATAATCGATGCTGACCCTAAAGGATGGGTGCCCAAATATGTTATATCTTTAAGTTAGTATATCAAAAATATTTATTAAATGTCATTTTTTTGTAATACGAACTGTGTTTTAAATTATGATTCTTTCAATATAGTTTCGACGAGAGACATACCAACCTCAATTAGAAACCTGAACGCCTTGTTAAATAAAATTCCACGGCGAACTGTGGCAAAATACCTCCCTCAAAAACCTTATATTCCTAAAGCGTCATCATCATCATCTTCTTTACATGATTATGGCGCATATCGCCATCATTCCTCAACATCACACAGCAAGCCTATCTCTACAACCCTTCATGAACAACGGTTCTTTTATCCAGAGGAAGCTGTTAATGAAACAAATAAATCGTCAATTGGAAGGCCTGGAAATGCACCGGGAGGGAATGAATTTTGGAAGTCATTTATACAGAAAATAGCGACTATAGGAGATAATACCAAAGGTAGAAGCGGTAAAATTTTTATAACCACTGTTACTTATGCTGCTGTGATCATATTTGGAGTTCGTAAATGGCGTAGTAAAAACTCTGTATAAACATGTATTTTATTTTCAAGTTTATATTGAGACAAAATAATTCGCATATCTACCTTTTTTTGCTAAAAGCACTATTCTATATAGGATTTTTGCATCAAATCTTGTTGATATGTAATTTTCATATACAACTCAACGTTGTCCATTTGCATTGTTCGTTATTATTCCATTTATTCCACTAATTATTATTCAGAAAAGGCATTTAATGTTAAATAAAAAACCATTATGTAAAAACTATTAAAACATTTAATCACCGTCATATACTGTATGTAAACTTGTACATTTTACTTACAATTATACTATCATTAACATATGGAACTTACCAAACCGATGGTAAAAGCACCCGATTTATTTTTTCAGTAATTTAACATTATTTCATTGAGATAATATTAACAATGTTTCCAATTTGCATCTTTATAACTTGTTCAAATTCCAAGAAATCATTTAGAAAATGAAATATTAACAAAATTGAAAATTGAAACCTATTAAAATAAATTTTAATGTACAATGATGGGCAAAATTTTTGAAAATTTTTAATTTGTTTGAATTTTTATTAAAATTTGTTTTTGCTAAATTTTATAATAATTATTTAATATAATAATTAATTAATAGTAATTCAATTATTATTCAAATCCAACAAAAAATCTTTATTTAAATTGTTAATCAAATTTTTAAAAAAATTTTAAATATCCAAAAATAATAATAATCAAATTACATATTTGTAAATAATAATTATAATGAATTTAAATATTTTTTACTAAATAATAAATAAACAATATACAGTATATAAGTTATAATTTTTTGGAATTTTTTTAATTTTGTATTTTTATTTTGTAATTAAATAAAAAAATCATTAAAATTTTATAAAATTTTATTCAAATATTCTTAAAATTTAAGAATAAAATAATATAAATTTTATTAATCATTTTATAAGAAAAGTTTAAACAAAAAGTTTTTAAAAGATCTAAAAAAATAAGTTTTAATTTTTGTATAAAACAATTAAGTTTTTATAATATAATAATATATTTATTTATTTATTTATTAAATTTTTATATTTAAAAAATAGTTTAAAAAAATTTTATTAAAAAACTTTATAAGATAAACTTAAGCAAATTTGTTTTTTAAATTATAAATATATAATTTATATAAAATAAGTAATTTTTTATTATGTAATAAATCAAAACAATTTTTAAAATAATATATATATATATTTGCTTCTAATCAGACTGCAAATAAAAATATTTATTAAAAAAAACTCTTTCAGCTGATCTTTTTGTCAACTCAAAAAACAGATGTTCTCAAAAGATTTTTTGTCTTTATGATAATAAAGTCTATATACTTTCCTTAAAAACAATATTGGTTTTAACCAGCCAAGCAAGCAGAAGCTATCACTTGTTTTATTTTTTTTTTTCAAAACACTTTTTTTGTTTATTTTTGTAACTAAATACAAGAAATCTACCTAAAAGATCTATGGCAAGAATACCTTTATAGAAAGAAAACTAATGTAACATTTAATGTATGGGGACATTATAATGTTAGGATTAATAAAGGAAAACTTTATTAAATATAAGAGAAACCAGACAACTCTGTTATTTC